TATTCCCATGCTTCCTGTGCAATGTTTTTAGCGCTATATTACCCGTAACGGAGGCCGAGATCTATGGGCCCAGAGATCACCTCCGTTACACTGTCTGTTACCACTTTACAATAAGACTACCCTTATAAAGGGTTTAAGAATAGTTTGTAATTCATTTATTAATTAGGTTGTGAACACTTTATAAATCATTAATAAGCTTTTATAAGACATGAGATAAACAGGGCACCTGTGACTGGTTGCTTGCCAAATAGTGAGCCCACATGTATCTGTACTGCTAAGCCTTATTATAAATGGTAGTAACTCATTAATAAATGGGAATGTGTTTTACACTTTACGATAAGGCTCCCTTTTGGCAGTTATAAATGTTAGTAACTCATAAGGATAGATACCAAGGATGCTGGCTGATGAAGAAGACAAAGTAAGCTAGGTAGCCAATATAAGGCTTAGTCATCTTGCCAAATAGTGAGCCTGTGTTGAAAACTATGTTAGAGCTGGTTTATAAATAGTTCTTAATGATTAATAAAGTGTTTACAACCTAATTAATAACCCTTTATGAATCCTTTATAAGGGTAGTCTTATTGTAAAGTGGTACCCACTGTCTTTCCCTATAAAGACAATTAATTGAGCTAATGAGATGAGGTGATACGTACTGTTGATGCCCTCGGTGTTGGCGATGGTGCCGGTCATGCCCAGAGCGTCGTAGTACTGCTTGTTGCTCATCAGCGTGTACATCCCCAGGATAGCTGCGGGAAAACAATCACTATGAATACAACATCTGTGATTTATGAATGAGATCAGAATGAATGTCCTGCATGCACTGATAACCCCAAAACAAGTTAAAGATTGTATTTAGAGGCAAGCAGCAACGCAGTGTAATAAACAGGATGTATGCAAACATGTTTCCAGCTTCACTGCGTTGCTTTTTATTAGCAGATCCCATGTTCTGTATGTGAAAGCTCAATATGCAAAGTTAGAAGTGATTGCAGTTGTCAGACAAACTTAGTAATGTCAAGTAAAACAACCTTATTGATATGAGAGCACAAATTAAAAATACTAAAGTATGAGCACCTCCAAAGTTAAAAGTGTAACACATTCAAACAGGGGGATGATATACAGTCACACCATGACACAATGATAGGTGCTTTACTATAAGATACAATTAAAAAGAGACCAGTTATATTAAGAGAATCAGTGAATAATATAAGCATAACTTTAAATGTAAGCCATATGAAAGGAAATGTTGTGTAGTGTTGTGTGTACTTTACAAATGTTCTGCAAGTCAGCGATATATGTTAACGTGAGGTTAAGTGACACTGGACCTATTTTTAAATAATGAATCAGAAACAGGTTTATTGACACGTACGAGGAATTTGATATGGTGTTGTGGTGCATCAAGTAAAACAACAATTAAAAACACAGATAGAAAACTATTTAAAAAAGACTATAATAACATAACATTAAAATATATGGTAAAATATAACAGTATATATATTATGTGTAAACACGTCACCTTCACTGAACAGATACTGACAGTGCTGTTGTTACGCTGTGTGACCAGCAGGGGGCAGAGCTGCTAATGATGTAACCTGACAAACTGAGTCTCACTCTGACAGACCCCCCTGTGGGGAACCATGGGAGGGAGGGGGGGGAGACAGCTGGAGAGGGGGGAGAGAGGGAGACCATAAAACCCCCCTCATCATCCGGTTCAGCCCTTAGAATAACCCACAGGAGCTTCACAGCGCAAACTAGACTGCAGCAATTAGAAAGCTCATTATCAGGAAATGTAAGGATATTTGGTTCTGAAATCTTGCCTAAAAGATTTTGAATTGAGTACTTTATTCAAAGGAAATCAAGATTGTTGAATCTTAAAGCACGTTAAATGATGTGGTTATGGCTTATAAACAGTAGCTTCACACCACAAACGAGACTGCAGCAACTAGAAAGCTTAATATGAATGATGTTGATATAAATACATATTAAGTCATTGGAGCTCTCTCTCTCTCTCTCTCTTTCTCTCTCTCTCTCTCTCTCTCTCTCTCTCTGTTCTCTCTTTCTCAAACAAAAGCCTGTCTCAGGTTTGATCCTCCTCTGGACTCCATCCAGCCGTCAGAGGTGGGAGGAGTACTCAGATATTGTACTTGAGTAAAAGTAGAAGTACTAGTAATGTCATTGTTAGCTAATGAATGTTTCCATGCTGAACAACGGCAACATGACAACGTTTTCATTGGTCCCTCTTCTTTAGAGAAGACCAGGAAATGATGGATACACGGATCGTGTTCAAATCAATAGGCACGCAATGACTCTAAATAATAATGATCACGCCACCAAACACACATTCAGACTAAAGGAACCAGCCTGTTTGGAAAATGAGAGAAGTAGAAAGTACAGGTATTTGTGTTCAACATGTAAGAAGTAGAAAGTACAGGTATTTGTGTTCAACATGTAAGAAGTAGAAAGTACAGGTATTTGTGTTCAACATGTAAGAAGTAGAAAGTACAGGTATTTGTGTTCAACATGTAAGAAGTAGAAAGTACAGGTATTTGTGTTCAAAATGTAAGAAGTAGAAAGTACAGGTGTTTGTGTTCAACATGTAAGAATACACAGTACAATACAGTATACACAGTTAAAGATCCGTTTAACTGAATGTGAGCTTGAGGGAACATGATAAACTGCAGCCTGAGTATCTGTGTGAGCAGTAGCTTCCCACTGGTCTGTTCTGAACAGATACAGTATCTCCCCCCCCCCATGTTCACTCCTCCCTGTCCATCTGGCCGCGGGCCTGCTTGTTTATTTCTGTGTTGCTGAGCGTGGGGAATTGGATCCCAGCTCATGTCTGCTGGCTTTGGAGAACTGAGTCCACTGAGGGGGACAATATCAAGCTAGAACTGGGTCTGTGTGACAGAAGGACTTTTAAAAAAGAAATTTGTAGGAGCCATTTCACTGAGTTTATTATAAAAGTTTTGTTTTTATTTTAATTGTTTAAAGGTCTCCTATTATGCTATTTGTAGGCATATATTATGGGTCTCGGATATATACAAATATATAAAAAACATGTCTATGATGTGTTTTTCTCAAAGTACCAAACAGATCGTGCATTTTAGGCATCCCTCATATCCCTCTATATAAGCCCCGTTAGAGAACTGCTGATTCTGGGTCCTTAGCTTAAAAACATTTTTTTTAAAAAGATACTCAGCTAAATGGTTAAACACCATATCATGTTCCAAACCACTTCAAGGATTATCTCTGAAACAGTATGGAGCTCAAAGGCTTTCTCTCTTGCCGGTTATACCAGAAGGTGAGTTTCTTTTTATTTCCTTCTTCTTCACACACATGCTCTCCAGTACAGGTTAGCTCTGAGTGTTAGCGATGCTAATGTAAACACCGACCATATTACGTCCAAAACAGTCGGGCATTGTTTCTGATAGCAACGTTTCTGATGGGCCGCGGGTGTAAAGCCAGCCCCACATTTCCGATATTACGTCATATCGGACGCAAATCTGGATCAGCTCCGTTGTTCCCCCGTTTTTAGAGATTTGGGTACGGAGGAAAAGAGAGAGGGTTTTATTTTCTGACGCTGCGTGAGTCCCCCGACACACCGGGGACACATATTAATGTATAAAAGACATCAAAAGTGCATCAAAAGTGCATTTTGCATGATAGGTCCCCTTTAAATATTATACATTTACTGCAGGCTTTTGTGAGGCTTTGCTTTTCTGTGTGTGATGTCGAATCAAAAACTCAAAATATTGAAGTTACTAGAACTAGTTTTTTCAACCTGAAGTTTACAGTACTTATTGTTTTAATTATTTTCAACATTTAAGTTCACAGTCAGAATTAAATAAATATATATTCCGTATATATAACTGAACCAGATATAATATGGACAAAACATGATGTATAGAATAAATAAATAAAAAAGACATCAAAAGTGCATTTTGCATGATAGGTCCCCTTTAAGGAAGTAGTAACATTTAGGATCCAGTGATACTAGTACTACCATCAACTGTAGTATCATTAAAAGAGTGTCTAACCTGCGATGTCGCACATCTCAGCGTCCGTGGCGTTCTTCAGAGCCTCCTCCAGCTCCGGCTCCAGCTTCACCTGCTCGTTCTCTGGGATTTCTGCCGGTTTCTTGGCCTCAAAGGTCTTTCCTGGGGATTCAAATAAAGAAAAACACGAGTTAAGATGTAAACCTGAAGAGAAAAAGACAGAAGGACAATCAGACTTGAGAAAGAAGTAGGGGGAGAAACAAGCGGAGACGAACAGAAAGAGACTTCTGTGTTTTTATGCATCAGTCATCAAGTTTCCCAGAGTTTTTCTCTCTCATAATCTTTATGGGGTTTTATCAGTCTGAATAGTTTGACTAAAAGCTCTGTTTGGATCATGTTTCCCCGAATACAAGTTATTCTAGCTTATCGTGGATTTGTGTTTTCCACTGGAGACTAGCTTATGGTTTCTTATCTTTTTTATTCATGCTTTGATCATTCATCTTATTAATTTTGGTTGTTACAAAAACATATTCAAGGAAGGACATAGGCTGTTGTTTGAGTGATTTCCTTTCTAAGAGTCTCGCAGTGCTGGCCTTGTACGTTATTAATTATTAAAGAGGACACACTATGCTCATGTTCAAGTGTATATCAGCAGAGTTGGGTGTAATAATATGACTTTTGTCGGTAACGGAGTAGTGTAACGCGCCACTTTTATAATTCAGTAATCACACTACAGTTACTAACATTGGCCCGACACGCGTTACTTCGTTACTTTTATAAAATCAGTCATAATCACACTGACAGACAAGAGGGGTTTCCGCAGCAGGTTTATATGTACGTAATCTGCGTGATTTGCTCGTCCGCATCTCCACATGCAGTGCTGCATAAACATGGCTGAGTCAGCGATAACTTTCGAGGGGTGGAGGTACGCCCATTATTTTGAGTTTGTCCGAAGAATAGACAGGAATGTGACGGTGAGGTGCAAACTGTGTCCAGGCCAGAAACTGTTATCCACTGCTGTAAACACCACGTCAAACCTCAACAAGCACCTGCAAAGAACACATGCTAAGGTGAAGCTAATAGCTAAGGAACCCCAAACCCAGAGTGAGGATGTTGTGAGTGTCTCCCCCCCCCCACACTTTCTGAAAACCCATCTGAACTTGTGGACTATTATAACAGCACCCTCTCCTTCTGTCTCAATGAACTGGCCCCCACAAAAACAAAAAATGTCTCTTTCATACACTCCGCCCCCTGGTATAACCTCGAACTCCGCCAAATGAAATCAAGGAAACGTCAACTTGAACGCCAACACACGAAAACCACACTAACAGTCCATCTTCAAATCTACAAAGACTATCTCCAGCAGTACAGTAATCGCACTCAAAGCAGCCCGGTCTAATTACTACTCACAACTCATTCAGTCTGGCTCCAGCAACCCCAAGCGTCTGTTCTCCACCATCAGCAAACTTCTCAAACCCTGTGACAACGCCACCTCGTCCTTCACCACCGAACAGTGCAACTCCTTCCTTTCGTTTTTCCAAACCAAAATCAGCAACATTTACAGCAATCGGACACCTTCATCAGCACCCCCCACCTGGCTCCCCCCCC